CCCCGCTGGGCGAGGCTGGGGAGGGCCGTGCCCCGCCGGGGTGCTCTTGGGGCCGAGCCTAGCCGTCGCTCTGCGCCCTCCCCGAGCGCAGCCCTTGCTTTGCCATGCCCAGCACGGGTCTCCTGGGCTTGCTTTGCAGCTGGGGGAGGTAGAAGGGAAAAAATAACCGTGGGCACGTACGTGCAGATGGCGACGGAGGGTAGTTGCTAATTGCCGTTGCAGAAATGCGTTGGTATGGTAATTGGATTATGGCTTGTTAGAAAACTTGGGGAAAATTTGCCAAAATTTGATTACAGATGCAGACCTGGAATGCGATAGTCGTTTGTATTCTCTTTTGTAATTAAAAATACTGGAAGAGCTCGGCCAAGCTGTATAATAACTTAATAACATAGTTTAACTAGATGCTGAAAGCATCTGCTTTTGTAAGTGGGTTGGTGGCGTTTTTTTCTGTTAATGGGAAGGAAACCCTGGAGTCCTCATTAGCTGGTTTGATCTCGAGGTTAACTGTTGGAACAAACTCTGATTTCTGCACGCAGGGGCCCGGGGAGCCGCAGGACATCTTCTTAAAAGTAGCTGGAGGACCAAGCCCGCAGATCAAAAAGTTCTTTGTTGCTATCTATACGTAAGTAGCAGGACCCCAAAAAAAAGTGAGAAACGCTAACCCCGAGCGTGTGGCAGGGCGGGAGGGGAGCTCGCACCCCCATTGCCTTGCTCGTGGCTTCCCGAGCCCGGCCGGCTCCTCTGAGCCGCAGAAAGCCGGGCAGGGGCCTTCCCAAGATGTTTGCAGCTTGGGGTCTTACGCCCTTCTCTCTTCCCCTGAATAACCCCTGCCCAGGGCATCCCCGGTGTGCAGGGTAACCCCCGCTGCGCCAGCCGGGCTGTCACTGCGCCAGGCGACGCTTCAGGGGAGGGTGGGACCGAAAGAGCTTCCTTAGGAGAAGCTACCTCGGTGTTCAGGCTCCCGCTTTGGGCTCCCCGCTTGGCATTCGACTGCTCTCTCCGAGCCCGCGGTGCTGCCGGTGAGCCCCGTCCGTCTGTCCGTGCTGCAGGGACGCCTGGCTGGCGGCGCCCGTCCAGATCTGGCAGTTCTACCTGCACTCGCTGCAGCGCCTGGACGTCAGCTGC